GTCTAGGAGTCTCCCCTGGTTCAAAACCATCTTTAGAGGTCCTAGCACGCCATTTCTCGACCCGCTCTTTCGTTTGAGCCCAAAAAAACATTCATATCTTGTCTGACATCTTTGCTACAAACTCTGGTCATCAACTCTGGTTTTCAGTTGAAATTGGAATTGTTAATTTACACAATAATAGGATTGCATTGACGATTTTTTCTTAACTCGCAAAAATCTTCGATTTGCTATCGATTGGCGATAAAATTTTTTGGAAATAATGAAATAGAGGGGATAACGCCTATTTTTTCAGAGGTGATTTTTCAAAAATTTATTTTAAAAAAAGTACTAACTAGCAAATGTTTTTTATTGGCTCGCAATTTTCTTCAAAACTACTTCAATGAGGAAAAAAATGAAAATTTGGAATATCTATACATGAGGGGCTAATTGATCGGATCAGGAGAGTGCCGCCGTGTTATTTAGGCTCCAGCGTTGCCGAATCCACTCTACACTTCCTGGGTGCGTTTAGCGAGTTCCCAGCAACGTCGCGCAACAGGCAATTTCATTTAACACGGTGAAAAATTGTTCACCTGTTGGAAATAATTTTTTTTCTCCCAGAATTAAGGATACAATATTTTAAAAAAAATTGTACAATTTTCCAGGTATGTCAATTGACGAATTCAATTTTTCTCAAATTTTTCCGGTCAACCAGTCGATAGCAAGGTGAATAAAACGACGTGTTGCGGCAATTCCCTCGCATGGTGACCAGTCTAGGGTTAAGTCGACTTATCTCCCAGTTGAGTTTTTGAAGAATGTTTCCGAATCTAAGGGAGATAGCGAAATTTTCGTACTCACATTTGTTGAAGCTCTAAATCGGCTCTATAAAAAAGTTTATTACAAAAATTTTGCTATCTTCCTTAGATTCCGAGATATTCATTGATAACTGGCCAGCAGTGAAAATTGACTTAAACCGTTTTACCATTTCGCTACTGAATTAAATTTGAGGAGAAAGAAATTTAAAAAAAACATGCAAGTTCCCTATTCAAGATTTGCAGTCCATTGCTTTCAGTCAATGGCTACTAAAAGGAGAAAATTGGAGTCTGAAGCTCCAGGCGTCATCAGTCGTAAGGTCACCATCAATGATTTGCCACCCGAGTTTTTGTCTCAAATCTTCAATTTTCTTCCTGCCGTAGATTTATTTCGTTCGAGAGCAGGTGAAGTTCCATTTTCTCTTCATTCTTGGCGTCATAGACTCTTGAAGACCACTAACAAGCCATTCCTATCCTCATTTATTTTTAGTATGCAAACGTTGGAGAGATTTTGGTTCTGAGGGCTGGCCGGGAGTCAGAACTCTCGATCTCATCGCTATCGAGAAATTGAAGAATAAAAGTTCCTTCATCCCTGGGCCGAAACGAAAAAACAGGTTCGCTAATGATGACGAGTATCCGAGTTTAAATGAGAGGTTCGCGGTGGATTACCCACAAATTTTGTCACTCCGTGGAAAGTTTGCCAAAGTCCTGAAGATCCCGGTGGCCAGCAGCTTCGACATGATCAGAATTGCCGCTGAGAGCTGCCGGAACTTGACCAGCATCGTTATTCGTTTTCAAACTTTTGAGGACAAATGGAGACACTGCAGAGACCTCGAGACTTTGTTTGAGAATAGCAGGGGAACACTGCGAAGAGTGGTACTTGAGAATGTAGGCAGGGACTTCAGTACACACGCCGACTGTCTTCTTGAGTTACCCGAGGAGTTGGTGGAGCTGCAGTTGTGGGGATACAAAGCTCATTTTGCATCCTACCTAGAAACCATCACTACTCCCTCATTCGAGTTCTTCATCCCAGTGAGTTGGCGAGACTTTTTCTCGCAATTCGTTCATTTAAGGGATGTCGACATTTTATTTATTATAATGCACTCTTGTGACAATCACAGTAAACAAGCTGGTCAGATAAAGGATTGGTCCTTGAGTTCAAGGGGAAGAGTAAACGATTTCCTTTCTGATAAAGAAAACATGGGCAATATCTCGAATCGAAAACGAGAACTCGCACATGGAGGATATGCGTCGAATTTTCATGAAGGCCGCGTAATAAACAAAAAAGAATAGAATATTATTCTATGAAACATGAATAAATGAATCATAACTGTCTAAATCGTTTAGGTCAGAGGGAAATAGGATAATTCTACTTTCTTAATGTTGTATTTTTAGTTTAAAAAATCTGCTGGGGATTTTTGTTTCTTTTTTTCTGGAACGATGACGATTAGACACAAATTTGTAAAAAAGAAAAATTGAAAAATATTGATATCTGAGGGAGTTATAATTTTTTGAAAATGGCTAGTTTTTGTAAAAAAAAAAATTTTCAAAATGAGACCTCATATAGCGTTATCTTCGGTTTGACGGGGTTTACACGAGAAAACGTTTTTTTTCAATCGTTAATTATTAAAAATGCTATTCTTTTAATCTGTAATTTTCCCCAAAAATTGTCAATTAAATGAAAGGAATTTTGGGACGAATTAGAGTTTGTCTATCGCCGTAGTTCGGCAGTTATAATTTTTTTCAGTGGAAGAAGTATTGAAAACGACCGAAAATCGCTATTATGCATGCAATTATCCCCCAAATGAGTGAATATTCAATTGAATACCTAAAAATGAGCCAATTTAATTAAATTCTCGATTACCTCAATATTACAAAAGTCTTTTCACTTCACAGGCAATCCAAAGATTGAAGAAGTTGCAAATTCTAGTGCTGAATGGCCTGAGTATTGACGGCTCTCAACTCGAGATGATTGGGAATTTCCATGATCTTCGATATCTCGAGATTTTGTGGAGCTTTCCTGCAAATTCGACTCTTCCCGATATCGAAGTAATCTCCACCTGCTGTGAACTGGAGTACCTCTCATTGCACAAGCTGAAGGCTATGGGCGTTGTTTGGTTCGACAACCTCGTGAAGAACAATCCAAATTTGAAGCACTTCAAATTGCAGTGTAATATTTTCATTCTGTTTTCCTCTTCATCATGATCCAACCTTTCATAATTCAATAACGAAGTGGTAAAACGGTTCAAGTCGATTTTGACTATTTGCCAGTTTTTAATGAATATCTCAGAATCTGAGGGAGATAGCAAAATTTTTTATAAAACCTTTTCTATAGCACTCAATTCGCTCTACAAAAAAGGTCATTATAAAAATTTCGTTATCTGCCTTAGATTCGGAGATATGCCTCAAAAACTCAGATGAGAGTCAAGTCGACTTAAACCTTTTTACCATTTCGCTACTGAATTAATATCGATATTATTTGGACTGCAAGCCGTTAGTAGAAAAAAACAATGAAGATTAAATTGTGCCTATCAGTTCTCCAATTCCTCGGCTCAAATTTTCTAATTTTTTTGTTTGATTTGCTTGACGAAAAGAAAAGAAAAATCGATTGAAAAAAATTTGAGCTCAGAAAACTCTGTAGAAAATATCTGAATAGAATAAGTAAATCTGAATAGAAAAATCAAATTCTATTGAGTTTTTCTATAGAATATTTTTTCTATTAAACTGAAATCAGCATAATCAGCCAAAAACTAATGGAAAGTTTAACAGAAATCCAATAGAATTGTCTAGCCAATTTACTAGGGTCTTTCTATTAAATTTTGTCATGCGTATAACTATGCATACAATAATATTCTAGCTATTGATAGATAATACCCTTGTTTTCTTACAGATTGCAAATTGAGGGCAAAACTCATTGAGAGACTGTCTGCATTGTCCAAATTAGAGACTCTGAGTTTGACTAACCTCCTCCTACCCAAGAGAACTGATTTCCGTGGATTCACTCATCTGAAAAAATTCATCTGCTCTGACGTTCAAAATCATCATGTCAAGGTTCTGTTAGAGGCAGCACCAGAACTCAATTTTCTCAATCTGAGGGACTCCAAAAATATCACCTCTGAAGTACTGAACACGGCTCACGAGGTAACTACTGCTCGAACGAATGGTATTCCCCTACATATAGTTGTGCCAGATAATGTTTTGGAAAAATGGGAGATCCCATGGAAGATATCTCCACTCCTGATATTGGAAAGCACAGCCATATTTAACGAAACTACTCGAGGGGGCTATGACGGCAATGTGGAAGAAATATTCTACTGAATACGCAAGAGAAACAAAAGTTCGAGTCTTCAGAGGAACGACTGGTCAATCCTAACAACAAATCCTAAATAAGAGTTACCAATAATTCTATTTATTTCATAGGATTATTCTGTCATTGAGATTCAGTGACTTTTTGTTCCCGAATTCTACCGATTTTTTCTCAGATTTCAGTGAAAAAATAAATAATTGCTTTAGCCATTCTTAAAGGGGGACTACTGTGGGTTTCAACATTTTCAAGTTGTTGAAGTGAGATTTATTGTGCATTGAAGGTCGATTATATATGTCTAAAAACGAATAATTAGTGCAAAAAATTGACTGTTTATTATTCGTTTGCCCCGCAGACGCTTGAAGTGTTAAAAATAGTGGTATTACAAAGGTTTTCCTTTCAAAATTGAAAAAAAAGTGTACAATAACGATTACGAGTGAGTTTTTTAAAATTGCACTCCTACACAGCTCATTTCGTATTTTTTTATTTATAAAATGGCGCCATTTATGGAAAATAACCAGAAAAATGATTCTCAAAATATTAAAAATATATTCTCAATTCTTTCAGAAACATTTTTCTATTTTACCTGAAAGTTGCAATTTTTTATGTTAACAAGATGGAATATAGCTGTGCAAGAATTGAATTTCAAAAAACTAGCTCGTCATTGGTATTGTACACATGTGTTCAAAAATTTTGGAAAAAATAACCTCTGTAGCTCAAAAATTGGAGGCCCCGGACTATTTTTAGGTAAATGAACAACAAACAATTTTTTTTTTGTACTAATTATTCATTTTTAGAGATATATAATCGATCTTCAATCTATGAAAAATCTCACTGCCGTAGTCCGTGACTTTAAAAATTCATAGTAGTCTCCCCTGAAAAGTCGATAAAAACAGGGGAATCCCTGAACATTCAAACTGTTTTTTATCTGTGCCGTTAGCATGGAGAGGAGAGGAATCATTCCATTCATTCTGTTTTGTCCACTTTTATTCTTTTTCGTTTGGAAAGCCTTCACATGGGACCAAACCTTTCGCTCGCTTTGCGAATGATGATTATTGGATTCTTTCACGTATTTGTTTCTCTTGGAAAACCAATAGATATGTATTATTATATTAAGTAGTTGTAAGATTGATAATATGCAGGCCACTTACTTTGTAAATAACATAGTCAATCTCACCATCAGTAAAATCACGTAATTTTGCGGTTTCCATTGTGAAGCTCGCCATAGTTGTTTCGTGGATGATTTTGTGAAACCATTACTGTAACTATTCGCTGTTCATTGCGATACTAAATGTTTCCAAAGGATGATAAAAATACCAGATGCTTCGTCCAGATGAATTACCATATCAATCAATATGTAGCTCATTTATTTTGTAAACAACTTTAGTTGATTTTTTCGTAACAAAAATATACAATTTTTCCACTTACATTATAAATTGTTATATTTATGTGTCCGTCTTCATATTATTTCTACAACAAATCCTGACTATCCTGTTTTAAAAAAAGAATGTGAGCAAATTCAATAGAAAACCTAGCGAATTCGCAAGAAAATTCTATTGGAATTCTATAGGAATTCTATGGGGTTTCTATAGGATTTCTATTGGAATTCTATTGGAATTCTATTTAAAATTTCCATTTCTTTTTTGCGCTGATTCTATGGGATATTCAATAAGAAAAAGTCAATAGATTTCGAATTTCTGTTTGAACTTTTCTCTTAGATTTTTTCTATTAGAATTACCGGACACAAATATTCTAAGTTTTTTCCGTTGGATTTTGTTTTATTTTGCACTGCAGAATTCGAGTGGAAAAAACTTGGAAAATTGATGCCCAAGTATTCTTATAGAAAAAATCTCAAGAGAAAAATTCAAACAAATTTGAAGTCTATTGATTTTTTCGTATCGAATATCCAATAGAATCAGCGCAAAAAACGAATAAAATTTTTCAATAGAATTCCAATAAAATCTTATAGAAAACCCATAGGATTCGAATAGAATTTTCTAGCAAATTCGCTAGGTTTTCTATCGAATTTTTTCATACGTGAAAGCTCATGAAATAACTACTGCTGGAACGTATGGTGTTCTCCTCAAGGTGATGTTCTAGATCAATGCAAGACTCCGGCCAAAACGTCTCCTCTTCTGACATGGGAAAGAGGAGCCCATCGTGATGCAACCACTCGTTATGGATACGAAGGCAATGAAGAACAATTATTCTATTGAATGAGCAGAGAGAAAAAATTTTCAGTTTAAACAATGAGAAAAATACCCAATTTTTCCCTGTAAATATCTGGGAATTTATATTTATTTATTTCAAATCGAAATTATTATATGCGGCTATTATTTGCTTATAATGCAATCAGTTGCAAAGCACTTATGAGTAAATGATCCGGGAAAATTGGAGTTGATAAATTCAACAATTAAAAAGGGGCGATAATTTTTTCAGTGTCTGTGACAGATTATTTATCCTCAGACATGACGCAATATCTCATTCTTCCCCGTGTGGAAAGCCCATTGTAATGTATTAAATATATAACATTGATAATATTTCCACAGTGAATTTGGTAAAAGTAGTTTTGGGAATAGTTACATATTTGAAAATTGTTCCTCTCAGTTATTGAAAGGTAAAGACATTGTTCTGCTCATCATAATTGCAAAGGTGAAAAAATAATCTGGTCTACCTGGAGTTGATAAATTCGACAGCAAAAAAATGTCGACAATTTTTTCAGGGTTTGTGACACATTATTTGCCCTCCGCATGGCGTGATACCATGAAAAATCAATCGTAATGTATTAAATACATAATAGCGATAATACGTAGTCCTCTTATCCTGTAAACAACCCGACGAATTCATCTTCATGGTAAATTTCGTAAGAGTGTGAATTCGTGAATTCGTTCTATAAAATTGCTCCTCTGAATTATTCTCTCATAAAGACAATTCAGTAGCGAAATGGTAAAACGGTACAAGTCAATTTTGACTATTGACCAGTTTTCAATGAATATCTCGGAATCTAAGGGAGATAGCAAAATTTTTGTTATAACATTTTTTGTAGAGCCAATTGAGAGCTACAACAAATGTAGTTATAAAAATTTCGCTATCTCCCCTAGATTCGGAAATAATCCTCAAAAACTCAACTGGGAGATGAGTCGACTTGAACCGTTTTACCACTTCGCTACTGAATTTTTGTTTTTCCCATATCAATTCTCGGCCATTTATTACATATCGAATTGACTATAACGCCATCCACAATTCAACTAATTAAGAAGTAATTATGGGGAAATAATCTATGGAAATTGAACGGAATAAAGTAACTAGTGAAAAAACAGTCGATATTTTTTTCAATGTCTATGACAGATTACGAGCCCTCAGACATTACGTTACACTTACTATCCATAACAGAAGATAAGCGACATGGGGACAGTTTATCTCCAGCCACAATAATTTCTTCATCCTCTTTTAACGACAGTCTTGCCGCAATAAGACTAAATCGCGGGAGACATATCCCGGAATATTGCACTTATCCGCGGAGATAGACGCACGACCACCCGATTTATTCAGTTCACGATGATTGAACGAAAATAAATCGTCTGATGCCTGACGTACGCCAATCAAATGTCGCAATTGTTATTATGAACATCTAATTACGTAGAGTTTATCAAACCACATAAGTATAACAATAATGAAAAATTACCGATCGTGTGTTACCAAGTGATTCATTGCACTTTTTCTATAGTTGTCATCAGGTAAATACAGTTGTTGATCCCCCCCCCCCTCAACAAAAAATTAATGAATAACAGCTACTGCCATGAAAAAAATATTTTTTGTTTATTTTTCGCGATTTCCGTAACTAAATCGTCCCACGATAAAAAGAGCTCCGGGACACCCTCGATTTTCAGACATTCTTGTTTTAAGCAATAAAATATGCGAGGGGCCATTCATTTGGAAATCCGGTGACACAGTGATTGCTGATTTCACGTGATTTCAGGGAGGTTTCCATGATTGAATGCTATCATTGATTCCATGCGATTGCCTGAGATTTTGTTGGTGCACGGAGAAAAATATTCACTTGTAAGACCACAAGAGCTTCAAAATTATCGGATATTTTCCAATAGGTTCGTTGCAAACAAACGAAGGAGCCAAGTTTTTCAGGTTAAAAAAACGAGTGCGAAGCACGAGTGATTTTTCCTGAAAAACTTGACGACTTCGTTTGTATGCAGGAAACCTTGAGGAAAATGCCCGATTAATTTTGAAGCTCGTGTGGTGTTCGGGGGATTATTTTTCCAATCCAAATGTCGGGCAATATAATTGGACCATGAGACGAAACTCACAATTGAGAAACGAAAATTGTACAATTAACACTCATTTCGAATAAAAATCCTCGGATTACCACAATTGAATTCAATCTGTCAGTTTGACGAGGGGTTAATTCGACTGCATGATGTTTTGTTTTTTATATAGCAACTACCAGAGAAAATTATCAAAAAATTATCAGTTGAAAACTCTGTGGCTTGTTAATCGTGTGATCTCCTCTCAACCAAAGCAAGAAAAGATCTTTGCTTTTTTCTGGGGGACCCCAGGCCACTTAATCTCTCCCTCCCCTCTCCACCCTCCCGTCAATTACCCGACAAGACTGTTTTGACTGTTGCGAGTTTAAAGAAACCCCATTCTAAACACTTCTCGCCGCTGATTATCAGAGAGGTGTTGCGAGCCCGAGGGTCAGTTTTCATGCGAAGGTTATCATTGGATTGGAATGAAAAAATCTCGCGAAGAGGAGACGATCATTCTTGTACGACGGATGCCCGTCATTCACGTCAGTCAGAGTAGAGCCATTTGACGATTCACTCGGTCCTGAATAGATCTATATCCGGAGTTTAATTACAATCAATGGACTTATCCGCAATTAAAATATGCTAGTGGATCAAACTGTTTTAATCCATTTGTGAATAAATTCCCCTCGCGATTAAATAATGAATACCAATTGATTGCCTTCATTAATAAAATAGTCTTTCCGATCGATAAGAATCGCATCAGATACCGATAAATAAATTCCCGTGACTGTTTGATATCTGGTGAAGTGTGTAAAAATGACGCAAGTCCATGGAGACCCAGAGACATGTACGTCATTGGCTCGTGGAACATGTCGCAGCCAAAAGTGTCTGATTGCGTCATTGATCTCGATGACCATCTCCAGCGTAATCGTCTTCATCATATTTTGGTGCACGAACTTCTTCTCTGATATAATAATATCGAACCTAGTGGTGACGAAGAACTCCCCAATGCTCGAGTGGTGGGTGCGTCCGCCGATCCGCGCGGCCTACAAAATCCGAATTTTCAATTACACGAACATCGCGGAGTTCACGAGGGGAAAGGACACGAAGTTGAAAGTGCAGGAGGTTGGGCCCTACATCTACAGGGAGACCCTGACGAGGGTGAACACGGTGTTCTACCCGAACGGAACGCTGTCCTTCCAGGAGAGACGCTCGTTCCAGTGGGAGGGGGGCAGCCCGGATGATGATATTGTTGTTGTGCCGAATATCCCACTGTTAACGACGATGGCATTCGCGAGGGACATGTCCATCGTGACGCAGTTGGGGCTGACTTTTGCCATTAGCACCTTCATACCTCAGACATTTGTGACGCTTCCGGTTGGGGGATTCCTGTGGGGATATGACGACAAGCTGTTCGATGCGGCCAAGCCGCTACTGAGCATCCTGGGGGAGGTGCCGATGGAGAAATTCGGAGTGCTTGCGATGGTAGGTTTCGAGGGGAAATGTGTGGGATATTTAGCACGGAGAGAAATGTTCAGAAAAATTACGGAACTCACAATTCGCTAATCGATTACGGAATCGACTCAGAAAATTTAAGGATCTACTACACCCTTTCCACCAAAATTCACATTTTTTTCATTTTTCTGGCAAATTATTGATCGGATTGACGCGAAATAATATTCCGTTTTTGCGTTTTAACATTATTGATTGACTCCCGAAGTTTCAGGTTAGTGCAATCATTTCCTGCAGTTTTCCTGCATTTTTTATAAAGTTTTGTGAATTTCCGAACAGTTTTAGAAGTTAAGTAATGATAAAACGCCAAAACGGTATATTTTTTCACGTTAATCCAATCAACAATTTACCAGAAAAATTCAAAAAACGTGAATTTTGGCGAAAAGGGTGTAATACATAATGTATTACATAATGTATTATACATTCTTAAGTGACGGTATCGTAATTTTCCATGGGAGATTCAGATAAAAATGACGGAACGCTCTGGAAAAATTCCGTGACATTTCCGTAAAATTTTCTACAACCACATTTCGCTCCGGAATTACGGAAAAGATACGTCATTTTTATTCAATATTTCTCTCCGTGCGTGACAACTCGGCACCCCTGGATTTTCTGTCTTATGGATGCGCGAAAAAAAATTTACTTGAATGGAGTATAAAATATTATTGATTCAAGTGTATTTTATAATCAATTGGGGGTGGGTATTTCAATTCGAAGATGATTGTTTTGTATCAGGCCGGGTTGTAGCAAGCACTCTTAAGTGTAATATAAGGGTCGGGCACTGAGTGGCAGAATATAAGGGTCAAAAAGTGTAGGTTAAAAAATGAGGGTCAGAATATTAGGCAATGAGGGTCATATAAGGGCTAAAAACGGCGATCAAGCATAATATATGACTTGTATTTAGACCCTCATTGCCTGACACCCACTTTTTTTACTTTTATATTCTGACCCTCATTCCTTCACCTTTACATTCAGGCCCTCAGTTTTTGACTCTAATATTCCGACCCTCATTTTTTAAACTCCACTTTTTGACCCTTATATTTTCACACGCAGTGTCTGACCCTTATATTACACTTGAGAGCGCTTGGTACAACACGGGCTGATACGAAATAATCATCCTCGAATTGAAACACTCATCCCTCATTCGAGTATAAAATATACTTGATTCAAGTACATTTTATGTTCAATTCAAGTATATTTTTTTCCGTGTGTCATTTGCAGACGAGGCGGTATTCACTCGCGAAATCACGGCGCCACTCTGGCATGAAATCATTCCAAAATCACCGAAATCACTGAAATCAAGTGATTTCAACTCTGCGAAATCATTTTCGAAACCATCTCTGAAATAACCTGAAATCAATGAAATCATGTCAATTTTTGAAATTGACACGCCTGCCAACGATGATAATAAAATGCTGTTCTCACTGCCATAGTAAAATAGTAAAATGGACCGCTTTTCATCGGCATTAGCTCAAGATTGGCGGAGTGGAATCAAACGAATTCGTTATTATTTTTCAGTTATTGTTGCCAGTTTTGTTTTTTGTAATTAGACACGACCCTTTTTGCCGCACCTCAATTTTTAATTAACTTTATTTTTCTGAAATCACTGTTTTCGAATTACTGAAATCATTAAAAATCATGGAATTACCTCCCGTGACGGTCGAAATTACCGAAATCATTTTTTCTGAAATCACGGCAATCACCGTTGAAATCACCCGGAATCGACTTCATTTCGAAATCATAGTGTCACTCAATTATGGAATGAGTAACTCTTCGATTGAAATGGTCAATAGAAAATATTCTGTAGAAAAAGTGAAAATAATTTGATTTTTTTATACAAAATAGAATGAAAAAAATCTTAGAAAATTGAGCCGAGGAAATTCTCTAGGAAATATCTGAAGAGAATAAGTCATATAGAAAAATCGAATTCTGTTGACTTTTTCCATTCAATATTCTCTATTCATTTTTTTCGTGCGTGAAATGACCGAATGTTCTACATTTTCTACTGCTTCCCATCCAGATATTCTCCTTTTTCCTCTGACAGTCTAATAAAACTAGGTGCTTCTATTCAAATGCGAAACTATACATCAGCGTGTGAAAACTCTCAAGAAAATTCTCAGAAAAGTGTATTGAAGCTATTAATTACCGAGAAATTTGCCATTTAAATAGAATCTAAAATCAGATATTTACCCTGAAGTCTCATTTGAATTGAAAAAAATTGACTAAATTTTCATCATTTTCCTACAACTACGCATTTGAGAATATAAAAAAATTGACAGAATATCTCAATGTTGATACCCAACACTCGATTCACGATTTATTGGAAAATCATTCGCGTTAACTTTTTTTCTAATCTACTTCAGACAGAGGTTTTCCCCGCTTCTAATTCTCGATAATTTTCTAGAATGCGCAGGTACCTAGCGACGTAATTAGAGATGCGAAATGACTGTCATTTTTGGGATTGTGTCATATGACCAAAAAATGACGGTCTTGTGACGGTCATGTGACGTCCCGAAATTTCTACTGGCAAATGACGTTCACAAATTTTTTGTGACCGTCACAAAGAATTTTTGACTGTCAAAAGCGTAAAATAGTAATTTTCGTTACCAAACCATCTATACAAAAATGACCGTCATAAATATATTGCTTTTTCGACGGTCATGTAATTTCTACATAATTGGCATCGTTTATTCGTTCAATTTATTATTGATTATCAATTATTGTTTATTATAAGGTTCTTATGGAAGACTCGAAATGTATGTGTACAACTGTACAACAGCTTTTTTTAATTATAAAATTATGAAACATGTGCTTACATATATTTTTGCATACTGGGAGAATGATTACACTTTTCATCTTTGGAACAAAATAAACGAAGTCAAGAGTTCTAGATACTAAAGTACACGGAGAGAAATTTTCTAGAAAAATTCTAGTACGAGTACTGAAAAAAATTACAAATCACCGGCTGTGAAAAATTCTAGTGCTGTTAAGGTAAAATTTCTTGGTATTTGTGGTAAAATTTCTGGGGATTTCTGTGAAATTTTCACCGAAATACGGGGAAAAATTCACGTTTCCTCCAATAAAATTTCTAGTGCCGGCACTAGAATTTTTTCCTGGTCATCACTTTGCGCCTTTTCCCGTGCTAGCACTAGAATTTTTCTAAAAAATTTCTCTCCGTATAAGTAAACAAAGTCAAGAGTTCTAGTTCATTAGAAAAAAAAATAGATGAACAAAAAAGTGTTTCATCTATATAGATGCAAAATGACCGTCACAGTTTTTCGGCCAATTGTGACCGTCATGAAAAAATTTTTTGTGACCGGACCGGCGATCATTGGGGCCTCGTCATGTGACCGTCAATGACGGTCACACGACCACTGTATGATCGGTCACATGGCGCCTTCGCATCTCTAGACGTAATGCCTCATGCGGTTGACATTTCTCGGCATGTGTTATGCATTTAAATACGTAATTACTTTCTTACATTCTTACAGAAAAACGGAGTATCGAAAGACGTGCTGACGATGCACACGGGTGAGGGCGATCTGTCGAAAATGGGGATGATCGAGCGTGTGAATGGCAGGGAGAATGGCAATATCTGGGGGGATGATGACTGTGACAGGGTTCAAGGGTCTGCGGGCTTTCTCTATCCACCCGAGATGTACCGAGATCCGTCGAAGTCTTTGAATATTTATGCTCCTGACATGTGTCGCACGTTTAAGCTTGACAGAGTGGGGGACGGATCCTCTTATGGAATCCCAACTATGAGGTGAGGATTTTTTCCCAACACGCACGAACAAATCCTTTAATAAAAAATCCAGTGTAACGTTTTTTGAAGCCAATCTATTCGGCGTATTGTGTCATTAAATTTTTCATAAATAATGATGACATATTATAATACATTGTATAATGTATTATATATATCATTATGCATATTCTTATTATCAGTTTATTTAATTTTTTTATTATGCACATTATATTTTAATACATATAGTACTCTTTTATATATTGTATATCGTATGTAGTATATATAATATACTATAGTATTATCGTAATCTTTCAAATGTATGATATCATTATTTATAAAAAATCTAATGACCCGATACGCCGAATAGATTGGTTTCAAAAAACGTAACACTGGATGTATTATATATTTAAAAAATGCAATCCATTCCTGAAACTTTTCCTTCGGAGAACTTGATATTAACTTCAGAAATCGAATATAATGCTATCCACTACAATTGACATACATTGAGCCCCATGGAGTAGGACATACGTGCGCAGAGCGCGCGGACTAATCTAGTTCTATAGAAATCCTAGCGAATGCGCCAAAAAATCCTAATGGAATTCTACAGGAATTCTATGGGGTTTCTATAGGATTTCTATTGGAATTCTATTGAAAAATTCTACTTGTTTTTTGCGTAGATTCTATTGCATATTTCGTAGGAAAAAATCAATATATTTTGAGTTTCTGTTCGAATTTTTCTCTTGAGATTTTTCCTATTAGAATTATTGGGCACAAATTTTCCAAGTTTTTTCCGCTGAATTTTGTTTTGTTTTGCATTACAGAAACCGAGTGGTATAACTCCATAATTTTTTTTATTGGTTAATAGCATAGAACGCATAACAGGTTATTAACGTCATCAATAGGGGGTGGTACATTTTCTTTTTGCACTGTTTTTTTTATAATACATTTCGCCTTTTATATGCGGAGCTTACATTTTGTGAAGAATTTGTCTATCGCTGTGAGAGCTTCGGAGTCGGTTGCCACCATGAACTGGAGAGTCCAATACGGAGAAAAATATTTCAATGATCTCAGTTTGGCTGTTAGTTCTAATCTCTGCGGATTCAAAAGGGGAAATTACCACAGTATGTGGTCAATGTCCTGGCATTCTCCCCCGCAAACTTCGTAATTATCAAATAGTTTTACGGACCTGATGTTTGAATTGGATTTTACTTTTTCTTTTCTAGCTTCAAACCACCAGTAGATGGTTTCAATTTCTCCCCCGAAAAAGACCACTGTTTCTGCCCCAGAAAGTCCAAATACAGAATAAATACGTCGGACCGAACGTGCCCTCCCAAGGGGATCTTCAACGTCTCTGCGTGCACCCTCGACACCCCGATGGTGGCCTCATTTCCCCATTTCTTCGGAGGAGAACCCAGTCTGTTTTCCAATATAGAAGGCTTGAACCCAAAGGCTGAACTCCACCAATCCCACCTGGAGCTCCATCCGGTGAGATTTAACTCTTGCAATTTTCAATGTAAACGGTGATAAGTAACGGCTCCCAGACCGTCTGATAGTGCCTGTTTACAATCGATTATTTTTACCTGTGGGTCAGTGATAATGGGAGATTATCTCAAGTATTTGAAATGCTATTTATGAGAAAAAATTACTGCAAATCAGATTAGGAGATTTTTTCATTTTGCAAAATAAGATTTTTTTTTCTGCACTGTTAAAAAAATTCGGCTGAATTTTGTGGAAAAAGTCCTTGAACTCGATTTAAGGAGAAAAAGTCAATGGAATTTCAAGTTTCCCTGAAAATTCAAGTAAAGTCCCAATTTTTTAGAGGCAGATAAGCGGAAATTCCACCATACACACAAATTTTCAAGTGAAAATGAATATTCACTGCCAAATTCCCTCGAATTTTCAGAGAATCCCTTCAAAACTCTTGGAACTCCAAGAATTTTTGAAGGAACTCCCTGAAAATTCAGAGGAATCGGGAATTCAAGGAGAGATTTTTCTGAATTTTCCAGATTTTTCATTGAATTCCCAGGAATAATTGAAGAGAAATTCACAATTTCCACGGATTTTTCCATGAAATTACGAATTTTTAATTACAAAATTCCTTGAAATTTCAATAGAAATATTACTTGTAAGAAATTTCCAACACTCTTATCGAAAATTTTAGTGGAAAATTTTCAACAGTATGTGTCTACATTTCCAAAATAATTATTTGGAGCCCGTTATTAGTTCAGACTGTCGATTCTTCGTGAACGAATGAAAAAAACAAATAAATGAATAAGCAATTCGAATCAGCTACTCCTCCCGAATTCCCCCAACATCATAATTTCACGTTGATTTTTCAATTGTTACAGAGATTAGGATTGCTAATAGGCGGTCACTCAAGAATCCAAATAAACGTAGAAGCGCGAAAAGCCACTGGCGTCCCATTCCTCGAGAACATCAAAGACGGTCAAATCCTCCCGATCCTCTGGATCGAAATCGGAATAGACTCGATGCCCGAGAACATCCTAAGTCTGCTGAATCACGCCTACTTCACAGTCGGCATCGTCGAGGCCTTCTTCCAATGGGGCAGCGTCATCGGCATGCTCTTCTCCACCTCAGGCTTACTCTTCCTCCTCCAAAGAAACAAGAAACAACACGCTGTCCTCAAGAGGAACAGATCGGCCCAGGATAAACTCCTCCAAGAAAGTGGTTGAAAGCAGAAGAGTGTTGAACTCGTGAAAACTTCTCAGAACAATTCCAAAAAAGAGAGCAAGCGATTCTCTAGAGCAAGAATGTTCGAATAGTCAGCGAAAACGAGATGTCTTCTCATTTTCATTCTGTTGTTGTCGAAAGCCCATTCGCTTTTTGCCTGAAGACGTAGGGGAGTTGTAATAAGACTGTTACGTTAAGAACTACTGTCTCAGTAATTTATTTTATGTGACTTAGGTCTAGTAATTCAATAGTGAAGTGAAAAACATTGTTGAATGATCTTGACAACGAAAGGATCCTCAAGGCAATTGTCGAGAGACACTTCCGCTGAGAATACCTGACATTCCCTAAATCATCTGCTTCAAATGAACATAGATAATTACAAGAATTATCGAAGACTAGGTCAGCTCATCACTTCACTATTAAATTGTCCTCAACAAATGCTCAACAATTCCCCCCCCCCCAATTACATAATTCCATGACACAAAAAATGGCAAGACACTTTCTTAGTATTCTCAACTAACAAATAAATCAACTAGTTTACAAACGAGGATTAATTGAATTGTAAATGGGCAACAGCTAGTTGGTAATTACAATCATGTATTGATATAATTATAAGACGCGATGACAACTCAAATAAAATTCAAATGAGATTAAATTCTGCACTTGTGCAATAGTTTTTTATCGTTGATCACTCAAGAAACAGTGAGAGATCACTCATTGAGGGCTGAGTGGTGCATGCAAGCTAATCACTGCCTGTCTGATTATTTATTATTAGTTGGTAATCACTTCTTGTCGGGTATTGCAGACACATTATGTTTATCCGGCCCCTTTGAGGAGATAAACTCGAGTATCGAGTATCTTGTTCCGACTGATAGAGGAACATGCGTTTCCTCTCGGTTATCGGGGCGATTTGATCTTGTGACCTGCGAGAATTTTGGTTAATCAATAAAATGATTGAGTGATGAAATATTGAGGTTTTTAGTTAATTTTTATTCGTATCCCATAGAAATGAAGCATTTATTATAGTTGTGGGGCATTTTTGCTCAGTTGCGAGAATTGATGAATGAAAAAAAAAAAAGAAAACACTTCTCGATGTAGTTGAGGTGCACAACGTTTCGAACGCTTCAGGTGCTTTATTAATCCATTGAACACCCTCAACGTACCCCACTCTTCACCTCTTTGTGGTACAGTGGTTACTCCCTAACATTCTTCTTCTTCTTCTTCTTCTTGTTCTCTGTTCATTTTGGTTATATCCTCTAACTGTAGTAGAGGCAAGTAACATTTTTCCTGCAACTCCCTAACATTTTGGTTCCCTAACATTTCAGTCGGAGAAGTTGACTTCCCCCACCATCGACAGCGTAAATGTGTTTGGGTAAATCTGTGTGTCCCTCTGCGTGACGGGACTGCGTAGTAAAATTACCCTCGGCGTGTGAAAGCGAAACAGGCAGATTCTTTCTCTCTGTTCATCTCTTTCGTAGCTCCGCCTCCAACAGAAAAGTAAGGGCTTCCCCTTATTCTGCGTGCGAAGCCGGGCTTTTCTGATGGCGCATTAATACATTGAGGGCCTCCCTACTCTTCTCACGCCGATACATTTCATGACTTACGCTGTTCAATGGGTTAATCCAATTCAGAAGCCAATGATATAAAAATTTAATGAATTTTCAAATTTTGGAACAGCAAAATGACGTGAATTCCCAGCTTACTTCAATTTTCAACGACAATATGAATATTCAGCACCAAATTATCCTGATTATTCCCTCAACTGAATGTCAACCAATAGAAATGTCGTATTTCAATAATAAATAAACTGAAATCTACAGTTTTTAAAATTAATTTTTCCATCCAATTTCGAATTTTCAATGATGAAATTCGTTGAAATTTCCGTAAAACTAGAATGTGATAAAAACTCCAGAGAAAGTCTACCGGAAATTTGAGCCAAATTTTTATAAATTTTTTTAATACTGTTTATTTTTTTTTCAGCCGAAAATTGATGGCAGTGTACACGTAAGTTTCGGATTTCTATAAAATACTCATCTTCTAGATAAGTTTAAAGAGAGGAATATATGAAAAAGCATATCAGAGTTTTCGCGTTGAGAAAGTAAAGAAAATTTTGGTAGCAATATTTTACATTTCCCAGGGCAAATTTCCAGGAATTACGTGGGATGACATTCAAAACAAAATAACACAATATGGTCTTTCCATTTTATTTGTACAAAATTCTTGTTTCCTCATCATCACCTAACAATGTTCACCTATAGTCTAATGATCCTAAAAATATTTTATAATAAAACATATACAAGGAAAATAACATATAATAGTACAAATGAGACATAATTACATCGATTGGAGCTTAATTGTGGGCTGAGTCGAAATGTTCAATTTAATTGAATAATTGTCCAGTTGTTGAAATACTTAATAACAATAATTTCAGACTCACACCCATGCTCTCCCCTCCCACTGGACGGATTGAAAATCTCGTAACTCTCACACAAGTGGTTGATGCACGATAACACACACGATCAACTCATCAATCTGCTGCAATTTGTAAAATACTCTATTTGAGGTTTTTCAGAATACTTGGCGCTTACGAGACCCGCGATGTTAACTAATCGTCCTTGCCTATCTTGAGCGTCATTATTACTAATTTCCAGAAGACTTTGCGCAATAATTCCCCTACGTAAACATTTTTCCCCCCGATTTCTCGATCAACAAATTGAAGATTATCTCTAGACTAAACAACGTTTAATTTTTTCCCTCGTGTTTTCGTGATTTGGAATTCCCCATTCACTTCGAAGAATTATGAGACAAGACGTTCTAATCAGTGTTTAAAGAACCTTTCGATAAGTCAATTTGGATTTTTTTCGATTTGCAAATTGTAAATGCGAAAAAAAGCAAAGAATCGAATGTAAAATTTCGGAGGTTCGTAAGGCAATCGAAATTACTGGGAATATTCAATTGCGTCATAGTTCATTGAAATTGTTTAAAAAATAAATTATAAAAATATTACCAGGGATATGAGAGTCATTTTGGAATTTCCTAGGATAGTAAAGGGCACATTGGCGCGATCGGCGTCACGAATAATTGAAGGAAAATAAAAACAGTAAGAATTGTATTTCCTACTTGGAGATTTGATTTATCTCTCGACCTCGACCCACTACGACTAATGATCTCGCCATGTGCGTTCAGCCAGTAGAATCGTTGGAGGAAAGATACGAAATAACGAGGAGTAAAGGATTTGAAGTGAGGGAATTACTTGTTCGTAACTTCCCACTCTTCAGCTTTCACTTTATTTCTCGTTGTTGTGGTACATCCCGCAACCGCTCACCTTTCCCACGATAATTGCACGAAAATTATTTCGCAAACAATTGCGTGATAATTCCAGTGCTACGTATTATTCACAATTTCCTCTTTTTCGTAGTGCGGAATGCTTGTCATATTGTTTTGCATTGACTTTATTAATCAGTTGGTTTCGTTGATTTGGGAATTTATTTTGGACCCTGGAAGGCGGGATTGAGGTTTCCTTGTTTTGTGCTGGCACCTGGGGGCAGGGGACTGCTGAGGTGGAGCTTTTCTTGACGTTTTGCTGCTCTTGCTAGACAGAAGAGAGCACCTACGAGGACTATTGCACCGACAGCTGCTAGGACACCTGAGATTGCTGCTCGCGCTATTGGCGGAACGTCCACTGCGATCTTCATCAGGGACGTCACTTCCGTTGCTAGTCCATCAACGGCCTAGAGAAAAAGTAAAATCAATGAAACTGTTCCTCTCCGTGATGTTAGTAATTGTCAATATCCCATTTGTGTTTTGTCTCCTCAGTTTGAGGTCCCTCGATAGTTGCTATCATATGAAAACTTGTGATTTTCTTATAAAATGTGCAATGCCGTGTGCCCTGCACAATGAAAATCAGGGATGATTTTACTAGACATTAATCGCATCAAGAGCCTGATGACACTAAATAATCAGCGGAAAGTCGCACTTACGACTATTTGATTAACATTGTAATTATATCTGAAACATCCTTTCAACTTTATTGATAAAAAATGAAACATTCAGACAATTGGTGAAAGCAAATTGGAAATGTTCAAAAGTTTCAATGATATACGAGAAATTTCTTTCGTTAGGAATCAGTGATTCTAAGTGATGCATCATAAAAAAAGAATTTGCATCGGAGTTTCGCTAGCTCGTCTGTAGATTCTGAGACATTGAACATTATTTTTCATTTAAAAATCGCCATTGATTTGTAGAACTTTCGAGTGTCAAATTACACTCAAAGAAAATCTCCATTGAAATTTAGCTATTTCTGTAACAGATTCCGAGATATTTTTCAAAAATCGATCTACAAATTAAACCGACTGATCTTCTTTAGCCTTTCTTAGGCGAAGAACCGTGAGTGGAAAAAATAGTGAATCATTTTTTATTTTTACAATCATAATTAACTTGTAGAACTGTTGTCAATCTTGAAATTTTTTTGTTTCTCTGAAAGATCCTGAGATATTTTCCAAAACTGGTGTAAACATCGAAGAAATTTTTAACAATCTCTTCCCTAAATGAAGAACCGTAAATGGAAAAAACTGAATCATTTTTCATTCCAACAACCATAACAATCGATTTGCTTGTGTTCTGAAAATTTACGAGCAAAACAATAATTTCCCTCATTTTTAAAAATTGCAGAAAAACTCAAGAATCCATACCCAACAACTTGAGATAAAAACTTGAGAAAACGGTTAATTCCCCATAATTAGACACTTAGTCTCAACAACCGACTCCCTCTCTTCGGCATAATTGTTCTACTACAGTGCAACAAGCCGCGAAATCGATATTTACCAAATGCCCCGTGAAATCTAAGCAAACCTGAAGTCTTTTTATGAGACAGTCGGATTCACTCTCTGCATAAACAGAAAACTGAAGCGGAAATGCAAATGTTTCCTTCAAACAAAATCCCCGAGGTTTCTAATCCTTTCCAAGATTGGAAGATTAAGTTTTATGTTTTATGGACAGATACTTACGTCCTCGAACCACATAATGGGGAAAATGATGTCTGGGAAGGAGGCAACTTGCTTGATGTCCCTGACTTGGCTCACAGCGAGATTGATTTGCACTCGGGCTCGCGCTCTCAGGGCTGTGCCCATCAAAGGCTGTATGTCGATGTACAGCGCGTGCTTCTCTTCCTCTGGTGGCGATATACCGATTACGGCGTCTCGTAACGCCGGGTCAGCTGTAAAATCATCGAACATTAATTGTTACGTCATCCTGATGTTCACGGTGATGTCATATTCGTTAATTCTGGAAGTGTATTGAAATCAATGTACGTCTCTGCATTATAAAAATCCAAATCGACTTCTAGTGATAAGAATTTGGCACTCGAAATTAAGGCTCCGAAATTAAGGGTCACGAGGGTCAAAATGCCTATCATAACAGTGCTAAAGGTGTATACTTATGATTCATTTGAAGAGAACAAATGACTCCTGTTTTGGTATTAAAGATGCTTTCTAAGTTAGAATGATAGTAATTCCACCTTGAGGATGAAATCGAAATCCTAGTGATAATCAGATGAATCAGATGAAATAGAAGTGATTCAGTGAGATTGTCGTTAATTCAGAAAAGATATCAGGCATGAATATGTTAGAGGTCCTTTTCTTATTCTTATTTTGTTGACTCACAAAAGAGTTGAAGATTAGAATTAATTTTTTTAGAATTAGAATTAGAATTAATTTTTTCACGGTGATGTCATATTCGTTAATTCTGGAAGTGTATTGAAATCAATGTACGTCTCTGCATTATAAAAATCCAAATCGACTTCTAGTGATAAGAATTTGGCACTCGAAATTGAGGCTCCGAAATTAAGGGTCACGAGGGTCAAAATGCCTATCATAACAGTGCTAAAGGTTTATACTTATGATTCATTTGAAGAGAACATGACTCCTGTTTTGGTATTAAAGATGCTTTCTAAGTTAGAATGATAGTAATTCCACCTTGAGGATGAAATCGAAATCCTAGTGATAATCAGATGAATCAGATGAAATAGAAGTGATTCAGTGAGATTGTCGTTAATTCAGAAAAGATATCAGGCATGAATATGTTAGAGGTCCTTTTCTTATTCTTATTTTGTTGACTCACAAAAGAGTTGAAGATTAGAATTAATTTTTTTAGAATTAGAATTAGAATTAATTTTTTCACGGTGATGTCATATTCGTTAATTCTGGAAGTGTATTGAAATCAATGTACGTCTCTGCATTATAAAAATCCAAATCGACTTCTAGTGATAAGAATTTGGCACTCGAAATTGAGGCTCCGAAATTAAGGGTCACGAGGGTCAAAATGCCTATCATAACAGTGCTAAAGGTTTATACTTATGATTCATTTGAAGAGAACATGACTCCTGTTTTGGTATTAAAGATGCTTTCTAAGTTAGAATGATAGTAATTCCACCTTGAGGATGAAATCGAAATCCTAGTGATAATCAGATGAATCAGATGAAATAGAAGTGATTCAGTGAGATTGTCGTTAATTCAGAAAAGATATCAGGCATGAATATGTTAGAGGTCCTTTTCTTATTCTTATTTTGCTGACTCACAAAAGAGTTGAAGATGAGACTTAATTTTAAGCGAGTATCTTAGCAGCAGAAAAATCTTGAAGAAAATCGTTTTTACGTGATATTCGTCAGTTCTACTAGCTCAAATGTTCCTCTCACATGACATTCTTCCCGATACATGCCTTGCGGTTACCCATTCATTTGAAGACCACGCTCAGAGCTGCTTAGCTTCTTATATTAAAAATTTATTGTCATAACAGTGCGCAATCTCCGAGGAACTCATATTCAGAATTTATTCGTGGGCATCGGCATGAAGGGGCCCCAATTTGTCGATATGAAGTTATGTATAATCTGATAATCTTAATAACGTTCCGCACATTTTAAGCCCAAAATTACCTAGATACCATGAAAAATGACGCCGGGAATCTTAAAAAAAATTTAACATTGACTTAAATGCGAATTGCCGAGGCAAAAATGTGAATATTTCGGAAACTAGAATCGACAAAGTGAGTCCTGTACATACGGACGCTCTACGGACAAATAAGAAGCTCTCCTGTTCTCTTACAACGAAGTCATCTTTGAAAATCGCCCCGTTGCAATGTCAGAGATATGTCATAAGATTGTGTAATCATGATTCCCTTTTATTGAGTCAAAATTTTTCAGTAATGAACATCAATATCACGATCTTATCTCGCGTGGTCATGTATAATAGTATTAGTCGCAATGGGATATAATACAGCTTTGAATGCAAAAAATCGAGTATTCGGTGCATAAACTCACGGAAAAGAGTGAAAACCTCCAAAAAGCTCGCCCGTAGGAAAATTAACAAATTTTCAAGGCTCGTATAATAATCAAATTTAACCGATAAATGTTAAAAATAGAAGAGAAAGGATTCCAACGAAACTTCTCGAGTATGACCCGCATCTTTTCCTCAATAAAATCGATGTTCTTCGTATACACACAACAACTAGAGTGGCGAAACGACCGAACGACTCTAAAAAAGAGTCCGAGAAACTTCGTAAAACTTCGCCGTCGTATTTCACCCCAATCATTAATGTCTCCTCGAAAGTAAAAGCAAACTTATTCAGCAGCATCTTAAATAAGAGAAATAATAATGAATGAAACTCACTAATAAAAAATTCAATCTTCCCACGGCAAATTAACGGCACACCACGCCGAACGCCTGGGAGTATATTGTTCGCCATTCCCACGAATTTTCATTGTTTCTCGTGGATAAAAAAATATGGAACTATACTTGACGCCCCGGAAAACTCCAGTCCCGTCTACCGCTGTTATTTTTTGTACCTCCAGGGGATTGCGAGGAATTGTCGCGATGGTTCAGTGAACTTTGAACTTACCCAAGTAAAAGTGGGGAAAACTAATCAGGACGGGTGAGTCGTACTGGCAGAGGGAGACGTTGAAGGTTCCCTCGGGAGCGCAGGGTGGACCTCCGGGACAGTAGCAGGCTTGAGAGGGCTTCCGCTCCGGCGACGTGAATACATCTTTCGGCGGAGTGAACCTGTAGCCGGGGACGTCCCCTTTCGTTATTACTTCTTCCTGAAATTGGAGTGATCAATGAGTAATTATTATTGACTTCTCGGGTTGGAAAATTGAAGGTTTAACCATTTGCTTTCGAATGGAAGAATTTTATTCTTTGAATTTTTTACATTTTTCAATTTTGCTCCGAAAGAATAGAATGTTGTACTGAGAGAAAAATTTCGTAATATGGGGAATATATTTATTGGTGAGAAGTCAATTATCTTCAAAGCCTTAAATCTCGGAGTGACTTGGCTTCACGGAACTCAAATAAATCCGCGTTTATCACTATTGTCCCGTGTTACATCATGAATATATTACGTATCGAAATATTGAAAGTGCAAATAAAAATCGTAAAAACAATAAATATTGAAGATTGACGATTCTTCTATGCGCTTTGAGTGCGTTCATGTGGGACAAAATCATTCTTGAGTACAATAATATTTTAAAGCATGAGACCTTTCTCTGCAATTAGTCATTGTTTTTCAGATTTTAAGACTTTCAATCATCGAATTTGTGAATCATTGTATGAGAAAAATTTGAATAATTTATGAATAATCAGCATCACTGAAGTTAAATATTGGGAGAAAAATATTTGTTGCGCATTCCATTTTTATGAATAAATAATAGAGAGTGTTTGAACCTCCGGAAACTCATTTTTGGCATGAAATTGATTTTTAGTCGAATTCTGGATATAGAAAAATTTGCTACGATTTCCAAAAAATGATGTTTGAGATGAGCAATTGATTGTTCATGAATCCTTCATGTTAAAGTTGTAATCATTAAAAATGACACTTGTAAATTATTTCGTGAATGTTAATAAAAAGAAATCCACTTACTAATTTTGTTCAGAGTTTTCAAATATTCCAAATGATTTCATCACAAAAAAATCAAAATTAAATTTTAAAAGTTCAACTAAACAAATCATTCCGCAGTGTTCAGCAACCTAGAGTCAAATGAGGCATAAAAGGAAGCTTCGATGTTTAACTAGGTATAATCAAAAGGACTACAACACTGGACCCTGGACACTGAATGTATTCAACCATATTTCTTAGAATATTCAGTCATTAAAATAAGATGCCCAAATGCATGATAAAAATATTCATAAAATCCAATGGATTCTGCCATTCTATTAGAACGGAGCTGCATCAAACATATTCAACGCAAATTCTCCATCCAATAAAACGCAATTTCCCCTTTTCCCTCGAGTGGTAGAGCCCTCAGAGTCATAGCAATAAATAATCCCCCATAAATTTTCGAACAGAATGAAAAAAAAGTGATAAAAATGCCGTTTACCTTGAAAACAAGTGGCAGAGTTCTGCAGAGGTCCTTGTCGAAGATCTTGAGTACAGTCTGCTTAGTGATATGTGGTGGGAATATGCTACCGTCACCACCAAGGAGTGTGTCGCACTCGGGAGTTGTCCAATGTCCAATACTATTTTTTCCATTGAATCGATCTACCATTCCGTATTTAGTGATGTTACTGGCACCAGTGAAGATAGTGTAAACATCGGGATGAGTGCCGTTCTTGCCGTAGAGGAGGCCAAACTGGTCGTACGGCAATTTCTGCTCCTTCGGGACAACGTCCTTGGCGAGCTTGAGGAGAGGATCCTCGTAGCCCCAGAGTAGTTGGCCGATGGATACCTCGACGAAGGGCTTTATCTTCAGAATGTCCATTATCGATGCCATCGCGAGACGCAGGAAACGAGCTGCGTGACGGGATTGACTCGTTGCTGATAGCATGGGGACGTTCGGGACCACTACGAGGTCATCTTCGGATCCACTTGATAATTCCTGGAATATTTTAAATCATTCAATTACACCCAGAAAAATGTTTAAAGGCCCGAGTGGATTATCTTTCGAACGTGATCTTGGTTGTTTTTTTTCATTTTGATAATCTGAAGTGATCTCCAATTGCGGTTCAGTTTTAGATAGTCTTGGAGTCACCAAAAATTATGACTGTACAATCTAAAAAACGTTAAAAAAAAGCTGAACATTTTCAAAGAGCGCTTTTGAATAATATTGGGAAATAAAGCTAATAGGGAGGAAATTGAAAATTAATAATTTGATGATCCTAATGGCTGTTAGTTCGTCATTTCTCGCAGTGGTCAAGGGCTGTCACATCGTTAGTTACCATGGTAAATTATTCATTCACTATTTTCTCTCTATCGGACTTATTTCTTAATCTTTATTAAAAACGCTCTTTGAAAATGTTCAGTTTTGTTTTCTACTTTTTTTGATTGTACAGTCATGATTTTTAGGGACTCCTGCGTGATCTAAAATCCCATGGAAATTGTGATATATTTTTTACATTATGAAGATGGAAAAACAATCGAGATAACTTTCGAAAGATAATCCACCCGGGCCTTAATCAAATAAAAATCATTTGAAATTTTTTCATTATTTCAAGAATATTTTTGTTACAAATGAATAAACTTATTTCAAGAAAAATGATTTAATTATATTAAACAAACAATTTATTTTAAATAAATAAATGTCTTATTTTAAGAAAATTACACAGCAGAGAAATTCAATGATAAAAAAATATATTGTTAAAGAAATAGTGTAAATGGATTTTATTCTCCTCTCTGGTCCATTCGGAATTTTGTTGACACCGGAAAATTACGGAACTTAACGTCACCATCGAATGAATCCCGATTCCCTTGACCTTTCCATCTCTTCTGAATTCCGCATTAAAAAAATCCGTGAATTGCATATGTAAATTCGATTTTTTGCAATGAAAATTTCCTGTTAATTTCCTCCCCTCCCCCACTTGCTGAGGGGTTACATATCATCTTCAAGGAATAATTCGTAATTTTTTTGAAGCGGAAAATAACTGAGTCACCTCACAACGTGAAGAAAAAACTCCCTAAAGGTGGACGAGTTTTACATCACATTGGTTCTGGAATCACTTTCACCTCGAGTGAATGTGAAGTAATTACAGATAAAACGAAAAGAAGTTCGCCCAGCCGAGATGTTGATTTCATTGCCATCGATTTTATGCGCAATTATTAAATTGCAATACGATGGAGGACAAAGTAATGAGGGAAGTCGGACTTTTTACTTTGAAATGCCGAGACACGATCGCGGAAGTAACTTTGGATGCATGTAACAATGCGGATTCGAGTATTTTTCCCCTTCTCTGGGGTATCACGAGCATCATCATCGACTTAGGAGAGTCGACGGAGCGTTGCAGTGGGTTGATATGCAAATTAGAGATGCAGAATCACTTCTGGGTAATTGGAGGGTGACTGGGAAGGACGCGTGTCAAAATTTTTTCCGGCATTTTCAACAGGTCATCGTCAACAATTTTTGGATGACATTTCCGGTACACTTTTCGGAAATTTTCATAACATTTTAGTTCAACCCGAATTGCCCATCACGCGACGTTGCGGGAGACTCGCTAAACGCGCCCGGGCAGTGTAGAGCAAATTCGGTAAGGCGGGGAATCCCCGCGGTGACCAGACTAGGGTTAAGGTGTTTCGTGTGTAGATCACCGGACGGTGAAACGGAAGGGGAGTCTTATTGTTCTCGAGCCCTGATTCAATCGCTGAGCACGAAATTTTCCAATTTTCAAGTAAGTATTTAAGTGTGCATTTGAACACTTTTTGAATATTGATTTTATTTATCAGATTGATTGATTTTTTTCTCATCACCTGGGGTGTCTAATAATTTTTATTGGATGTTATTCTAATTATTGGAATAATATTAAAATGCATTTCGAGTTGGTAAACCTGTCGAGTGTTTTCTCTCTCTCAGTTCCATGATGCTCACTGACATTCCAATCACGCGTCTCCGCGTGAGGGGGTAATTTCCCCGAAACTCATAATTTTCCGAATCATTTGTTCAAATAACTTTCTTATGAAATCTGAAAAAAATCTGAAACTTATACGTGCCCTCAAGAAAGATTTGATTTATCACCCACTAGTTTTTCCTCAATAGTTCATAATTTTTTTGGGTGCCATGGAAATTTTCTTAATTGAGAGTGGGGTAACCTTGGAGGTTACAGCTAGAGGGGATACAAAAAACATCCAAATTTTCGTTATTTTTTTTCTTGAAACTGAGATCTAAAAAAAATGTGCAAGAATTCTCAATGATGCAGCATGCTTAGAAACTTCTCCCATGAATTTTCCTATTTTTTTTTTCATTATTTTGACTTGTCAACTACAAAACCTTAAATCACATTCAATGTCACTCTCCTGAAAATGACTAGTCGACTCTCCACGAAAGTTAAATTTTTTTCTAACGTTAAAGTTGAAAAGTTGAGAAATCGGGACTGAAAAATGAAAGGGTTTGCGAATAGAAAATTTTGTTCATAAGACAAAATTTTTTAAAAAATATATATATTCAAGAAGAAAAAATCAACTGAGATAATAAGAAAATTTACTACGTTACAAATTTACTACGTTACGAATTCACAAAAAATAAGAAATTGAGCAAAAAACTTCAGAAGGAAAATTATCGATTCACGCTCAACCAATTGGACTAATGAGACAAATTTGGTGAATGTAAAGAACTAAACTAAATAGCTCAGAGTAAACAAAAAAACCAAGTTCTCTTCTACGAAAGCAACCATTTTTTTCAACTTAACAAGAAAAATGCAAATGCCGGAGTAGTTACGCAATGACTCACATCGGCTGACTCATAAAATTAGCCTACAATCGCCTGCCCCGGAGTAATTTATTAAAAAATGAAGTAAACCCATGAATACAAACCTCCGAGAATGTGTATCGTTTCCTCAAGTGATAAGTGACCGTGCCATTATCATTGAATACGAGATCAGTTTTGTCCCACTTCTGGATGTACACGTAGGGTCCGAGCTCCTGAAGAATGGGCTTGTCGCCGTCGTTGAGGAACTCATCGGCATTCGTGACATTGTAAATAAAGACTCTCAGGTGGGGAACAGCTGGGGGTGCCTGCCACCAACGGTACGATCTGCCACCGTCTTTCAGAACTACTTCACGATTTATTATCGCCTCCATTATTTTTGGAAAGAGCGTTGCTACCAGGGCTGCGGCTACTATTAGGAGAGCTCCGGCTGCCACTGCGGCCCCTGCAATAATAAAATCAATAATTTGAGAATGCGCATTAACTATTTTGATCACACGGAAAAAAATATACTTGATTCAAGTATATTTTATACTCGAATGGGGGATGGGTGTTTCAATTCGAGGATGATTATTTCGTATCAGCCCGGGTTGTACCAAGCGCTCTCAAGTGTAATATAAGGTTCAGACACTGAGTGTGAGAATATAAGGGTCAAAAAGTGGAGGTTAAAAAATGAGGGTCGGAATATTAGAGTCAAAAACTGAGGGCCTGAATGTAAAGGTGAAGGAATGAGGGTCAGAATGTTAGGGTTAAAAAAAGAGGGTCAGAATATTAGGGTCAAAAAATTAGGGTCAGAATATAAAAGTAAAAAAAGTGGGTGTCAGGCAATGAGGGTCATATAAGGGCTAAAAACGGTGATCAAGCATAATATATGACTTATATTTAGACCCTCATTACCTGACACCCACTTTTTTTACTTTTATATTCTGACCCTAATGTTTTGACCCTAATATTCTGACCCTCATTTATTAACCTCCACTTTTTGACCCTTATATTCTGACTCTCAGTGCCTGACCCTTATATTACACTTAAGAGGGCTTGCTACAACCCGGCCTGATACAAGAGAATCATCTTCGAATTGAAATACCCATCCCCCAATTGAGTGTAAGATATACTTGAATAAAATATATTTTATACTCAATTGGGGAATGGGTATTTTTTTCCGGGTACTTTTCTTTTATGGAAATCCTGTTTAACGTTTTAATCTGGACATCAGAATATTTTGCAATGATTTTATCGATTACGGGCCTAAATATTACAGAACTATTATACTAGGGTAAAAAAAAGCGCAATAATATTATGGGACAAAATATTACGGAAAAAATTATTATGAAACGAAATATTGTTAAACCGTAATGTTATCGTATATAGAGAGGTGATAGCAAGGACGAAACGTGATCTACTCGATGGGAAATTACCCGAAAATTGAATCAATACAATAATAGCCCAACACCAAATGGTAGATCATGAGGTCAGGTATCCTCGATTATTCAACAAGTGTGTCATTCCGTCCCATTATATTAATTCCCAAAACAAAATAAAATCCCCCAAAACATTTCCATTGCTCACCTCGGTGCAAAGCTGGAAGAACGATTGCAATACCTATGAATACCTACAATTCTACATGGAACGAGAAGATCATCAAAACGAATAATTCGATAATACTATCGACCCTCAATAATTTGCAAATTTAAAAAATATACATTGAAAAATTCAGAAGTTGTGAAAAGTGTTGAAAAAGACCAAATAAAGAGACAATTACGCAAGAGTAATATTCAGACCGGATTCCGATTTCATCGTGATTTATAGAGAAAATCCTCTGAAAATAAGTGAAAATTTCCTTCATATAAATTCAGGATTTTTTTCTCCGTTCCAGTTCCACAGATCTCTGAAATTCAATTTTTTTTACTGAAAACTAAAAAATTTTCTTGCCTGTAAATGACCGAATGATTTAGTTTTAGGGAAACAAGAGGCCAAAGAAAGTGCCTAGACCTCTGTCACCTAGACCATTGATTGACTATAACAAAAGCATATTTCCGAAGAACAGACCGATGCAAACCTGCAATTAATGTTAATAGTAATTTATTCTTTTTTTATTAGAGCTTTCAAACCTTTCGGAAATGCGACAGGTTTCGAGTTCAAAACCCGGCCGGGTAGAATGGTGAGATCTAGCCATTCAAAGCCTGATTTGTTTGCAATGAAGCTATCGGGAAATACCCGATAATTTTGAAGCTCTTGGGGTATTACTATTGATAAAAATAGAAATTACCGTGTCGGTAGGGTTTACCAACCATTCTAGAATTTTCGTTGTTATCCACATAAAAATTATTCGACTGGAAGGGTAAAATGTATTATGCATCAGGATAAAATTTCTCTAACGTTGAATAAAATTTGATCATCATATATTAATTTTTACTAAATTACGCGATAGAAATGAGGAAACGCTGACTTATGATACACTCTTATAGAACGGTAGGATAATTTCTATCAAACATTTCTCTCCGCGTAACGAATAAACTCTCCGATAGACCACGGGTGTGACATACAAATTTACAGTGCTATGAAAATCCGTCCAGGTGCATCAGATTTGAATTTCGATCAGACTGATCAACACTGATTAAATATATAATACCATACACCCGACCGGGATTCGAACTCGGAACCTTTCGCATGCGGGTCCAGCGTCTAACCGACTCCTCCAAGCCACCGATACTCATGAGATTATCATTCAATCGATTATTCAGAGACTTTTCCACTCTGAAGAAATAAAGAATAAAAAATAAACACTCAATGACACCAAATTCAAAATAATTACCGACACTACCACGCAATTTGTTCACACGAGGGAGGATTGCGTGTTTGCTGATGAAAAGAGTAAACATTATGACACGTGTGAGCAGAATTGAGCATCTCCCTGCAATTCTTTCATTATAGTAGTCAACGAAATACCTGTGATTGAATGTTTCAATTGGCCTAATTCAACGTTATTTCGTTTCAACAATGTTGTTTTGGAGTGAATATTTGAGACACGAAAGCTTGTCATTGCTTTGATTAATGCAGGGTCAAATAAAAGACGATTCGACGCTCGTTCGGAGGCGCAAGGACGTCCGGAACAGATGATTACCTTGGTATTACTTGAAATTTTGTAATGAGTTGGAGTTATTCGAATATCCTGCGTCAATCGATGCCGAAAATATTGAAATAATTTAGTAAATTGACGAAATGTGGCACAAAAAAATCATTTTTTGATCATTTTCAGAAAACTATTTTCTTGGCAGAAGTAAAACTTGTTTGAGAACTCTGTCGTTTATCTCTCAGTGGGACACCATGCACTTTGCATCTCAGCCTCTGACATGACCAGTCAGTCAATTATTTTTCATACAAGATCTATGCGCGCGCTGATCTATTCATTTGTTGAAATAACGAAATGGAATTCATTGAATTTCATTTTCTCATGAATACCTTATAAATATTGATAATGAATCAAAGAGAATTCGACTAATGATTGAAGTGAATAGCGAAGTAGAGTAAAAGAATCTATAAAGAATTTTTCATTTTCAATTAATTATCCTCAATTTTTTAAAATAATCGGTCTCTATAAAAGAACAGAATTTATTAATTTCACCGATGATATATATACATGTGAAATATATATTATATATATATATATATATATGACGTGAAAAAAAAAATTACCACTGAAGAATTTGAAAAAGCCGCGTGTTTTTTTGTGAATAACTTCGTGTCACATATTGACCAATCAGGATTAAGGATTAGCGGTCAGGCAGTTTCGAGATATTTCGATATAAAACAACTTCACCTTTCGTTCATCTTTAGAGAATAGGACTAGAATACTAGAAGAGGGCGCGCGCTTCGCAAATCTCGTAATTTTCTGTGAAACAAAATCAACCATTTTGATAACTGAAATAAATCAAATATTTCATTTTCAATAAAATAAAATCTCATCTAAAATACCACGTTTTAAAGGAAAACGACAAAAAATCAATCTCAGAGTGATTTCACTTTTACTTTTTGTGCTTCGTGGAGTCAGGTCTTCTGCATAAATGATCGAAGGCTTTTTCAGGTGTTTTTTTAAAACATCAGGCTCATTAGGCAAGCAATGAAAATTATTACCATCGGCGTTAAATACTGGTTATCAGATTCTGCAATTAACAAAACGTTTTTTTATTATCAATCACGCATAAATTGACGATCACTTTATACCACTGCATGAGTGAATTTTTCTCGTGATGACGAGAGATTTTTCAATGCTATTGTTATTCCATTTGATCGAGTTGTTGTCAAGGAATTGTTATTCAGTTTTTATTCTTGATCGATGAATTATCATGGGAATGTAAATATAGATATTCCCTCAAGCGTGGATCCGAGAAATAAACTTGAACGGAGTTACAATGCGGAAGGGATATATGACCGAATGCGATCCGGCCGATGTACCATCACTTTCTAGAATATGCAATGTAGGTGTTCTCCGGAAGTAACATCATCCGGATCCGCTTTTCCAAGTTGTTACTTCAATTTTTCACTTCACGTGATTTCAGCGCATTTACGAGGTACTTTTGCTACTCAACGCAGCAAAATTGATGGTAACACGAGTGGAAAATGTTGCTTAGTCTTAAAAAAATTGGAGGAAATTCGCAATTTGATTTTTAAGTGGAGCCTTATTAAGAAATAGTTTTACTCAATGGATTTTCCTACACGGAGAGAAATCAGTAGCAAAGTGGTCAAACGGTTTACGTCGATTTTCCCTATTGGCCAGTTTTCAATGAATATCTCGAAATTTAAGGGAGATAGCAAAATTTTTCTCATAACCTTTTTAGTAGCACTCAATTCGCTCTACAAAAAAGGTCATCATGAAAATTTCGCTATCTCCCTTAAATTAGGGAATATTTTTGGAAAACTCAACTAACGACTAAATTGACTTAAACCGTTTGACCACTTCCCTACTGAAATGCTCAGTAAAAATTACGGAACTCACAATTCGCTCATCGATTACGGAATCGACTCAGAAAATTTAAGTGACGGTATCGTAATTTCTCACAGGAGATTCAGATAAAAATTACGGGACGCTCTGGAAAAATTCCGCGATTTTAGGTAAAAATTACGTGACAGTTCCGTAAAATTTCCTAAAACCACATTGCGCTCTGGAATTACGCGAAAAATAGCGAAGAGTAGGGCAAAACGGACCGCAGAGCAAAACGTACCACTAACAGAAAATTGATAATTTTCCGAATGGAAGCAAAAACAAAGATTCAAAGTCATTTGTGGTTTGAGTCACAGCGGTCTATGAAATCGCTGAGACGGTTACATGCAGAAAAATTATTTATTTGAATTAAATAACTTTTATTTGAATCAACTAAATCGTTTATTTAATTCCAATAGAGGATTTTTTTAATTCAAATAAAGTTTATTTAATTCAAATAAACA